TTACACTTACAATCATTCAATACCTTTAATGTACATCGTGTAATCAGCTTATTAACTCAGGTAGAATTTATATCATGTTAATAGATAACCATGTATTTGTGTCTTTGAAATTACCTCCCACTGAGCAACTTAACTCCAACATATGTATCATGCTTTTTTTTTATTTTTACCAAGATGATTGTGCCTATTAAGAGGGCTGAGGAATTATTTTCTGAAAAGCTATTTTCTAAGAATTGTGATAACTAAACATGTAGTTGAGTTTGAAAGCAAAGTAAAGACAAATGTGTTTGTGCTGCTGGTTTTCAGGCTTCTCAATTAATTATTTTGGAAGGTGCTAATTGTCAAAGAGGGAATATTTTTCTCAAGTGAACCACATTACTTAATTGTAACATAAATGACTTTCACAAAGCTAATTCTTGTTGCTTGAGAGGTTTATACACAAATACTAAATGTACTCTCTCTTAAATCAAACTTCTACTTTGAAACCTTTTGCGCTGTTGATATCAGCGCAATGAAGACTATGTAATAATGAATTACAAAATGTGAGAAGGGCAAATGCACTGATGCATACCCGTATGAGTGAGGCTGTGTCTCGCCAGGTGGTAACGCTGAACAAACCTCATGTCACACATGGTACAAGCAAAAGGTTTCACACCTAAACGCAGAGCATTAGGGTATTATTTTCAGACTTCAAACTTCTTGTGTTCACAATCCATCAATAAGAAATACACACCTAGTAACTATTAAGAATTGATGGGTTGTTAACCACTTTTTAGTTCTATGAAAATGTCTTTGGGAAATTATTGCTCATTGTTTTGTTTTTTTCCCCAAATCCAATTAAGAATATTTCCAATTCCCACATCCACAAGTAAACACATCACATGAGCTGATGATGTTGCTGTCCTGTCTTTACACACTAGGACTTTATGGTTGCTTTATGTTGGTGAGGCCTAACCAAGAAATTGTTCTACGGTTAAGTTCAAAAGATAATTGACAATTGCTTTAAATGCCTGACGTTGTATCTGGCATTATGTAAATACATTCTGATTTCAGTGACATGGGTAAGGTGGGCGGACGCATACCCATATGAGTGAGGCTGTGTCTTGCCAGGTGGTAGCGCTGAAAAAACCTCTTGTCGCACATGGTGCAAGCATAAGGTTTCACACCTAAATGTAAAGTAGCAATATTATATTACTTGGCCTCACTTTCCATTTGTCTAAATTTAGAAATGAATATCTATGCTATTGGTTATTAACCACACAATTGCCAATTCATGCAAAAAACAGAAAACTTAAAAAAAAAAATCCTCTATCCTTGTTGTGTTGTAGTTACCAACAATCAGAAGAACAAAAGAATGATTCAGAGTTTTACTGCTTTTCTCAAATGATGATACAGACTCTGAAACTACTATATTAAAACTGACTGCATCTTGACATTTGCCTTAAACATTACAGTTAAATGACTGAAGTGTTCACTGTGCACACTGATATCTAACACTGAATGTCATGGGCACGGTGCACGGACCCATACCCGTATGAGTGAGGCTGTGTCTCGCCAGGTGGTAACGCTGAAAAAACTTCATGTCACACATGGTGCAAGCATAAGGTTTCACACCTAAATGCAGAGCATCAGAAACATTAATTTTGTGTCTCTGATACTAAGAAAA